TCCTCCTCCTCCTCCTCCTCTTCCTCCTTCCCTCTCTCCCACCCCGGACCCTCCGTTCCCGCATCCCGGTTCCCCCCGCCGCCCCTTCCCCGCTGTCCCGCTCCTCCCGCATCCCGGTTTTCCATCCCCGCGTCCCAGTTTTCCATCCCCGCATCCCGATTTCCATCCCCGTCCCTCCCGCATCCCGGTTTTCCATCCCCGGACCTTCTCCGCATCCCGGTTTTCCATCCCCGGACCTTCTCCGCGTCCCGGTTTTCCATCCCGTCCCTCCCGCATCCCGGTTTTCCATCCCCTCATCCCGGTTTTCCATCCCCACACCTCTCCCTCATCCCGGTTTTCCATCCCCGGACCTTCTCCGCATCCCGGTTTTCCGTCCCCGCCGTCCCGGCTCCCTCCGATCCCGCCGCACCGGCCGCGCTCCTTCCCGCTCCTCGCCGTCCCGCTCGCTCCGGTCCCGCTCCGTCCATCCCCGCCGATCCCGCTCCCTCCATCCCCGCCGTCCCGGTTCCATCCCCTCATTCCCGGTCCTTCCTCTCCCGTTCCATCCCCGCATTCTCGGTCCTTCCCCTCCCGACCCCGGGCGCTCCCTCCGCGCCGTCCCGGCTCCCTCCGTTCCCGCATTCCCGCTCCCTTCCCATCCCGGTTCCCGCCTGACCGATCCCTCTCCGACCCCCGGTTCTTCCCGCTCCCACCGGTCCCGCTCCGTCCATCCCGCTCCCACCGACCCCCGGTTCTTCCCTCTCCTACCGACCCCCTGTTCTCCCCGCTCCCACCGGCTCCCGGTTCTTCCCTCTCCCACCGGTCCCGCTCCGTCCGTCCCCGCTCCCACCGACCCCCGGTTCTCCCCGCTCCTTCCATCCCCTCTCCCACCGGTCCCGCTCCTTCCATCCCCGCATTCCCGGTTCTTCCCTCTCCCACCGACCCCGGTTCGTCCATTCCCGCTCCCACCGACCCCCGGTTCTCCCCGCTCCCACCGACCCCGGTTCGTCCATTCCCGCTCCCACCGACCCCCGGTTCTCCCCGCTCCCACCGACCCCCGGTTCTCCCGCTCCTTCCATCCCGCTCCCATCGACCCCCGGTTCTCCCCGTTCCCACCGACCCCGGTCCGTCCATCCCCGCATTCCCGGTCCTTCCCTTCCCTCCCTGCTCCAGCCCCACCGGTCCCGGTCCGTCCATTCCCGCTCCCACCGACCCCCGGTACCCGCCGCTCCCACCGACCCCCGGTTCTCCCGCTCCTTCCATCCCCGCTCCCGCCGGTCCCGGCCCCCCGACCCCGCTCCTTCCCTCCGTTCCCCGCCGCTCCCGCTCCATCCCCGTCCCCCCCGGTCCTTCCCGATCCCACCGACCCCTCTCCCACCGCCGCGGTCCTTCCCATCCCCATCCCGGTCCCGGTCCCGGTCCCGGTCCTCCCGGTCCCGGTCCCGACCCCTCCGTCCTTCCCTTCCCGCCTCTTCCCGCTCCTTCCATTCCCGGTCTGTGCGTCCCTTCTCCCCGCGACCCCCGCTCCCTTCAGCCCCGATCCCACCGACCCCGATCCCACCGACCCCCGGTTCTTCCCGATCCCACCGACCCGATCCCACCGATCCCGATCCCACTGACCCGATCCCACCGACCCCGATCCCACCGACCCCCGGTTCTTCCCGATCCCACCGACCCGATCCCACCGACCCCGATCCCACTGACCCGATCCCACCGACCCCGATCCCACCGACCCCCGGTTCTTCCCGATCCCACCGATCCCGGTTCCCCCTGTCCCGCTCCCTTCCTCCATCCCTCTCCCCCAGACCCCCAATTTCTTCCTCCCCCTCCATCCCTCTCCCCCATCCCCAATTCCTCTGTCCCCAGACCCAATTCCGCTCCCCCATCCCCAGTTCTTCTGTCCCCCCAGACCCAAATCCTCCCTCTCCAGACCCCCAATTCCTCCCTCTCCCCATCTCCAATTCCTCCCTCTCCCCCAGACCCAATTTCTCCCTCTCGCTCTCCCCCATCCCAAATCCTTCCCTCTCCTCCATCCCCAATTCCTCTGTCCCCCCAGACCCAATTCCTGCCTCTCCCCCAGACCCAATTCCTCCATCTCCAGACCCCCAATTCCCCCCTCTCCCCAAGACCCAATTCCTCCCTCTCTCTCCCCCATCCCAAATTTCTCCCCCAGACCCAATTCTTCTCTCCCCCAGACCCAATTCCTCTCTCCCATCCCCAATTCCTCTCCCCCATCCCCAGTTCCTCTCTCTCTCTCCCTCTCCCCCATCCCCAATTCCTCTCCCCCAGACCCAATTCCTCTCCCCCACCCCCACGCCCCCCCCCTTTTCCCCACCTTTCCCTGCGGATGTCGCGGACCTGCTAAAGAGGGGGGGCCGTAAATTGGGGAGGGGTCTCCGCGACCCCGGCCCCGTCTCCGGGAGCGCCGCCGCCGCCGCCGCCCCGGGCCCGATGCGGGGCCGCCCCGCGGTGAGTTCCCAACTTTTCCCGCGGCTCCCGGGGGTCCCCCCGGCCGTTCGCGACCCCTCCCCAGCTGCCCGCGCCCCCTCCCCACATCGCCGAGCCCCCCCCCCATCCCTCATCCCGACCCCCCCCCGGCGCTGCCGCCCCGATCGAAGTTTCTGGCAACAAAGGGAAATAGCGAATCGATCGCGCCGGAGATTAAGAGACAAGTGCGGGAATCCATCAGCGCCGCGGGGACCGGAGAGACCCCAGACCCACCGAGAGACCCCAGACCCACAGACAGACCCCACTGAGAGACCCCAGACCCACCGAGAGACCCCACTGAGAGACCCCTGCCCCACAGACAGACCCCAGACCCATAGAGAGACCCCCGGGCCCCACAGAGACCCCTACCCTAGGGAGACCCCGCAGACCCCAGAAAGACCCCAGACCCATAGAGACCCCCGGACCCACAGAGACCCCATAGAGACCCCCAGCCCTACAGAGACCCCGCCCCCCAACACCTCCCCACCTGCCCCACCTGTGCCACCGGGGGGGCTGAGGCCGTGGGGGGGGCCCGAGGCGGTTTTGGGGGGATTTTGGGGGATTTTTGGGTTTTCGGGATTTTGGGGGATTTTGGGGTTTTTTGGGGTGTGTCAGGGCGTGTTTGAGTTTGCACGCGCGTGGGGGTGGGGGGGGTACATGGACAGGTGTGGTCGGTGCACACCTGTGCAGATGTGAGCTCCGTGTGTGCTCTGTGTGTGCTCTGTGTGTGCTCACGTGTCCCTGCACACCTGCACACGTGTGTGCTCTGTGTGTGCTCACGTGTGTGCTCTGTGTGTGCTCACGTGTCCTTACACACCTGCACACGTGTGTGCTCCGTGTGTGCTCTGTGTGTGCTCTGTGTGAGCTCTGTGTGTGCTCACGTGTCCCTGCACACCTGCACACGTGTGTGCTCTGTGTGTGCTCTGTGTGTGCTCTGTGTGTGCTCCGTGTGCTCTCACGTGTCCCTGCACACCTGCACACGTGTGTGCTCTGTGTGTGCTCCGTGTGTGCTCACGTGTCCTTACACACCTGCACACATGTGTGCTCATGTGTCCCTGCACACCTGCACACGTGTGTGCCCTGTGTGAGCTCTGTGTGCTCTCACGTGTTCCTGCACACCTGCACACGTGTGTGCTCTGTGTGTGCTCTGTGTGTGCTCTGTGTGCGCTCACGTGTCCCTGCACACCTGCACACGTGTGTGCCCTTGCAGGTGCGCGTGCTCTGCGCGGCCTCACGTGCATTCCCCCCCGTGCACGTGTCCTGGCACAGCTGTACACGTGTGTGCCCTGCACAGCTGTACACCTGCACATGTGTGTGCCTTGTGCACCTGTACACGTGTGTGCCCTGCACAGCTGCACATGTGTGTGCCTGCACACTTGTACACAGATGTGATCTGTGTTGGGGCACACCTGTTCCCTACACACCTGGGCACACCTGGCCACAGAACTGGGCACACACCTGGGCACACCTGGGGCACACCTGAGCACATCTGGGCACACCTGGGCACACCTGGGCACAGCTGGGCACAGAACTGGGCACTCACCTGGGCACACCTGGGGCACCTGAGCACATCTGGGCACACCTGGGCACACCTGGGCACAGCTGGGCACAGCTGAGCACACCTGGGCACACCTGGGCACACCTGGGCACAGCTCGGCATGGGGGATCGGGGTCATCCCCTGGGAGTGAGGCCACAGGGCCGCACCTGTGTGGGATCCGTGTGGGATCTGTGTGGGATCACTGTGGGATCACTGTGGGATCGCTGTGGGACCAGTGCGGGTTCAGTGCCGTCCCTGTGTGGTTTCGGTGCAGGTTCGGTTCCATTCCCATTCGGTGCCATTCCCATGCAGGTTTGATGTGGGTTCGGTGCCGTTCCTGTGCGGGTTCGGTGTGGATTTGGTGCAGTTTTGGTGCCATTCCCGTGTGGTTTCGGTGCCGCTCCCGTGCCGGTTCGGTGCAGGTTCGGCTGACGTTTGGTTCCGTTCCTGTTCAGTCCCGTTCCCGTGCGGGTTCGGTGCAGGTTTGGTCCCGTTCCTGTATGGGTTCGGTGCAGGTTCGGTACAGGTTTGGTCCCGTTCCTGTATGGGTTCGGTGCAGGTTTGGTGCCGGTTTGGTGCGGTTTCGGTGCCGTTCCCGTGCGTGTTCGGTTCCATTCCTGCGCAGGATCGTCGTGGGTTCGGTGCAGGTTCGGTTCCTTCCCGTGCGGTTTCGATGTGGGTTTTGGTGCAGGTTTGATCTCATTCCCGTGTGGGTTCGGTGTTGGTTCGGTGCAGTTTCGGTGCTGTTCCTGCGTGGGTTCGGTCCATTCCCGTACAGGTTCGGTGCAGGTTCGGTGTGGGTTCGGTGCCATTCCCTTACAGGTTCCGTCCCGTTCCCGGTGTCGGTTCTGGCCCATTCCCAATGCCTATTCGGTGCAGGTTTGACGCAGGTTCGGTACCGGTTCGGTCCCATCCTGGTGCCGTTCCCGGTGCTGGTTCAGTCCCATCCCGGTGCCGGTTCGGTCCCATCCCGGTGCCGTTCCCTTTGCCGGTTCGATGCCGGTTCGGTGCCGGTTCGGTCCCGTCCCGGTGCCGCTCCCGCCCCGCTCGGGCTCGCTGCCGCCGCGAGTCGCGCCTGTCACGATAACGGATGGATCCATCGCGCCTGATCGATGGCGGCGGGAGCGCCGGACCCCCCCGAACCCCCCCCGAACCCCCCCGAACTCCCCCCGAACCCCCCCGAACCCCTCCGGTACCGCCAACACCCCCCGGAGCAGCCCCCGGTACCGCCGGAACCCCCCCGGTACCGTCAACACCCTCCGGCACTGTCGGGACCCCCCCGAACCCCCCGGTACCGTCAACAGCCTCCGGAGCAGCTCCGGGCACCGCCGGAACCCCCCGAACCCCCCCGAACCCCCCCCGGTACCGTCAACAACCTCCGGCACTGCCGGGACCCCCCCCGAACCCCCCCGGTACCGCCAACACCCCCCGGAGCAGCCCCCGGTACCGCCGGAACCTCCCCGAACCCCCCGACCCCATCCCGAACCCCCCCGGTACCGCCAACACCCCCCGGAGCAGCCCCCGGTACCGCCGGAACCTCCCCGAACCCCCACGAACCCCCCCGACCCCCCCCGGTACCGTCAACACCCCCCGGCACTGCCGGAACCCCCCCCGAACCCCCCGAACCACCCCGGTACCGCGAACACCCCCCGGAGCAGCCCCCGGTACCACCGAAGCGTTCCCGGTGCTGCCGGACCCCCCCCCGAACCCCCCGACCCCATCCCGAACCCCCCAGAACCCCCCCCCGGTACCGTCAACACCCCCCGGTGCTGCCGGACCCCCCCGAGACTCCCCGGTACCGTCGGAACCCCCCGAACCCCCCCGAACCCACCAGAACCCCCCCGAACCCCCCAGAACCCCCCGAAGCCCCCGAGCCCCCCGGACACCCCCGAACCCACCAGAACCCCCCCGACCCCCCCCAGCACCCCCCGATCTCCGGGATTTGGGTCTGGGGGTGTCCGGGGGGGTCTCCCCGCTGTTTCTCCCCCCCCCCAATTTTAATTTTTCCCCCTAATTGTTTTTTTTGGGGGGGGCGTCACCCCTTTCCCCCCCACCCCCGTTTTTCCTCAATTTCGGGGGGCGGCTCCCCACCCCCCCCGATTTTATCCCCGTTTTTTTTGGGGGGGGGTCCCCACTCTGTCCCCCCCCAATTTAATTTATCCCCCTAATTTCGTGGGGAGGGGGTCACCGCTTTTCCCCCCCTCCGCTCATCCCCAAATTTCGGGGGGCGATTCCCTCCTCCCACGCGTGTCCCCGTTTTTTGGGGGGGGGGTTCCCCGCTGTGTCCCACCCCCCAGATTTAATTTACCCCCCTAATTTTGGGGGGGTCCCCGCTGTGTCCCCCCCACCCCCAGATTTAATTTACCCCCCTAATTTGGGGGGGGGTCCCCGCTGTGTCCCCCCCCCAGATTTAATTTACCCCCCGAATTTGGGGGGGGTCCCCGCTGTGCGCCCCCTCCCCCGCGCTCAGATCAAAAATCAGAAGCGGCGGCGGCCCCAAAGTGGCTCCAAATGAAGAAAAATGAAGAAAAATGGAGTCGGGGCCGGAGCGCGGCGGCCGCGGGACCCCCGGGACCCCCGGGCTGGGGAGGGGGCGCGGAGGCTGCGGGACCCCCGGGATGGGGAGGGGGCGCGGGGGCTGCGGGACCCCCGGGACCCCCGGGCTGGGGAGGGGGCGCGGGGGCTGCGGGACCCCCGGAATGGGGCAGATCGGGGGGGCTCAGGGACCCCCGGAATGGGGAGGGGGCTCCGGGACCCCCGGGACCCCCGGCAGGGGCAGATCGGGGGGGCTGGGGGTCTTCGGGACCCCCGGGAGGGGCTCGATGTGGGGAGGGGGCTCCGGGACCCCCGGAATGGGGAGGGGTCATCGGGACCCCCGGGATGGGGAGGGGGCTTCTAGCCCCCCGGGACCCCCAGGAGGGGCGGCTGGAGGTGGGGAGGGGGCTCGGGGGGACCCCCCGGGACCCGCGGGTTTGGGGGGCGGCACCGCGACCACCGGGAGGGGATTTTGGGGGGCGTTCTGGGGTCTTTTTTGTGGCCGTTTTGGGGAGGTTTTGGGGTCGTTTTGAGGCCGTTTCGGGGCCGTTTTGGGGCAGTCCGGGGCCGTTTTGGGGCCGTTTTGGGGCAGTTCGGGGCCGTTTTGGGGCCGTTTTGGGGCCGCAATTGGGGCCGTTTTGGAGCCGTTTTGGGGCCGTTTTGGGGCAGTCCGGGGCCGTTTTGGGGCAGTTCGGGGCCGTTTTGGGGCCGTTTTGGGGCAGTTCGGGGCCGTTTTGGGGCCGCAGCGCTCTGAGGTTATTTTGATTTGGGGTGGGGGTCTTTGTGGGGGTCTCGCAGCGGTCCGGGGGTCGCCGCTCCCCTTCCCTTTAACGACCTCCCCCGCCATTCCCCGCATTAATCACCCGCTAATTGCTCATTAGCGCCGCCCCGCCCCCTCCCCCTCCCCGAGACCCCCTCCCCAAATCCCCCCACGACCCCCCCCGGGAGCCGCGGATCGCAAACAGCCCCGAAACCGCCCGGAACCGCCCCAAAAACCGGAGCCGCCCGCGGGCGGCGGCGCCTTTGAAGTGGCGGCCCCGGGACCCCCCCGGGACCCCCCGGGACCCCCCCCCACATCCCCGGCCCCTCCCCCACCCCATCAAAGACCCCTCCCCAAATCCCCCCACCGCGTCCTGCGCGGAGCTGCGACTGCGGCGGAGGGTCCGGGGGACCCCAAAATTCTATAGGGGGGTGGAGAGACCCCCAAATCCTACAGAGACCCCAAAAATCATATAGAGACCCCCAAAATCCTACAGAGACCCCAAAAATCTATAGGGGGGTGGAGAGACCCCCAAATCCTACAGAGACCCCAAAATCCTACGGAGACACCCCCAAAATCTATAGGGGGATGGAGAGATGCCAAAATCCTACAGAGACCCCAAAAATCCTACAGAGACCCCAAAATCCTACAGAGACCCCAAAAATCATATAGAGACCCCCAAAATCCTATAGGGGGGCTGCAGAGACCCCCAAAATCCTACAGAGAGCCCCAAAATCTATAGGGGGGTGGAGAGACCCCCAAAATCCTACAGAGACCCCCAAATCCTACAGAGACCCCCCAAAATCCTACAGAGACCCCAAAATCCTATAGGGGTCTGGAGAGACCCCCCTGCCCCACAGATCCGCCCCCCTCCGCCCGCGCTGTCGGCGCCGTTAATGACGATCAATTAATTATCAATTAATGATTATTAATTACTCCGCGCCGCCGCCGCTGATGGCGGGAACGGGGGGGCTGTGGGGGGCTGCGAAGCCCCCAGACCCCAAATCCACCCCACAGACCCCCAAATCCGCCCCCCAGACCCCCAAATCCACCCCACAGACCCCAAAACCGCCCCATAGACCCCCAAAACCGACCCCCGGACCCCCCAGCCTCTCCCTGCGGACCCCCCAGACCCCAAATCCATCCCCCAGACCGCCCCAGACCAACCCCAGACCCCAAATCCACCCCACAGACCCCCCAGCCTCTCCCTGCGGACCCCCCCAGACCCCCCCAGATCCCCAAATCCGCCCCCAGACCCCAAAACCGCCCCCCAGACCCCCAAATCCGCCCCCCAGACCCCACAGCCGCCCCCCAGACCCCCAAATCCCCCCCCCCCCCGCCCCCTCCCCGGCGCCGATCGGATCAAAGCCGCCCCATTGATCCGCCCATCGATCGGGGCCGGGGGCTGGGGGGGGGGGGTCCGGGCCGGAATTTGGGGGGGGGTCTCTGTCGGGGGGGGGTCGGGGCTCGCTGCCATCGCCGCGGGTCATGAAACAACGAGCGGCGCGCGCGGGCGGTAATTGGGGCTCATGAATAATTCATGAGGGGCGGCCGGGCCGGGGGGGGGGCGGGGGGGGGAGGGGCCGTGGGAACGGGGGGAGGGGGTGGGGGGGCGTGGGGGGTGTTGGGGGGGATTTGGGGGAATTTGGGGGAATTTGGGGGGTTTTGGGGAGTTTGGGGGATTTGGGAGAGTTTAGGGGGGGGTTTGGGGGAGTTTGGGGGGTTTGAGGGGATTTGGGGGGGATTTGGGGTCTGTGGGGTGGATATGGGGTCTGTGGGGGGATTTGGGGTCTGTGGGGTCTGTGGGGGTTGTTGGGGGGGCAATAAGGGCCGTGTTTGTAGGGGGCTGAGCCTATAGGGGATCCGTGTGTGTTTTAGGGCTCCGTGTGTCTATAGAGGATCCGTGTGTGTTTTAGGGTTCTGTGTCTATAGGGGATTTGTGTGTGTCTATAGGGGATTTGGGGTCTGTAGGGGATCCGTGTGTGTTTTAGGGCTCTGTGTGTGTTTAGGGCTCCGTGTCTATAGGGGATCCGTGTCTATAGGGGATTTGTGTGTGTCTATAGGGGATCCGTGTGTGTTTAGGACTCTGTGGCTATCGAGGATCTCTGTGTCTATAGGGGATCTCTGTATCTATAGGGGATCCGTGTCTATAGGGGATTTTTGTGTGTTTCAGGGGATCCGTGTGTGTTTTAGGTCTTCATGTGTCTATACGAGATTTGGGGTCTATAGGGGATCCGTGTGTGTTTTAGGGCTCCGTGTCTATAGGAGATGTGTGTCTATAGGGAATCCATGTATGTTTTCGGGCTCCGTGTGTCTATAGAGGATCTGTGTGTGTCTATAGGGCATTCATGTGTGTTTTAGGACTCCATGTCTATAGGGGATGTGTGTCTGTAGGGGCTCCGTGTGTGTTTTAGGGGATCTCTGTGTCTATAGGGCTCCGTGTGTCTATAGGGGATCCGTGTGTGTTTTAGGGCTCCGTGTGTGTTTAGGACTCCATGTCTATAGGACATTTGTGTCTATCGGGGATCTCTGTGTCTATAGGGAATCCATGTATGTTTTAGGGCTCCGTGTGTCTATATGAGATTTGGGGTCTATAGGGGATCCGTGTTTGTTTTAGGGCTCCGTGTCTATGGGGGATTTGGGGTCTATAGGGGATCCGTGTGTGTTTAGGGCTCTGTGTCTATAGGGGATCTGTGTCTATAGGGAATTCATGTATGTTTTAGGGCTCCGTGTGTCTATAGAGGATCCGTGTGTGTTTTAGGGTTCTGTGTGTCTATAGGGGATCTGTATCTATCGGGAATCCATGTGTGTCTATAGGGGATCTGTGTGTATTTAAGGGCTCCGTGTGTGTTTAGGACTCTGTGTCTATAGGGGATCCGTGTGTGTTTTAGGGCTCCGTGTCTATGGGGGATTTGGGGTCTGTAGGGGATCCGTGTGTCTATAGGGGATCTCTGTGTCTATAGGGGATCTCTGTGTCTATAGGGGATCTGTGTCCATAGGGGACGTGAGTGTTTATAGGGCTCCGTGTGTCTATGGGGACTCTGCACGCCCCTATAGGGCTCCCCATGCCCCTATAGGATTCCTCTGCCCCCTAGAAGGTTCCCGAGCCCCTATGGGCCCCCCATCCCCTATAGGGCCGCCCTATAGGATTTCCTGTGCCCTATAGGGCTCCCCCTGCCCCTATGGGGCCGCCCTATAGGATTTCCCGTTCCCATATAGGGTTTTCATGCCCATATCGGGCTCCCCATGCCCCTATAGAATTCCCCCATCCCCTATAGGGCCCCCCCAGCCCCTATGGGGCCGCCCTATAGGATTTCCTGTGCCCATATCGGGCTCCCCATGCCCCTATAGGGTCCCGAGCCCCTATAGGGCTCCCCAGCCCCTATAGGGCCCCCCCAGCCGCTATAGGGCCGCCCTATAGGGCCGGGCGCCGCGGCGGCCCCAATTCCCCGCGCGGGTCGTTAGCGCCGAGCGATGAAAAAAGGGGAAAAAATCCCCGAAGCCGCCGGAAAAAAGCGGCGGATCCCGAAATCCCAAAATCCCAAAGAACGGGGGGGGGGGGGGGGAAGGGCCGGGGGGCAGCGGGGGGGGAGGGGGAGGGGCGGGGGGGGAGGGGCGGCGCGGCCCGAAACCCCCCCCGCGACCCCAAAACCGCTCCTGGGTCCGGAAAGCCCCAAAAATCGGCTTTGTCACCCCAAAAATCGGCTTTGTGCCACCAATATTACCCCAAAATTCGGCTTTGTGACCCAAAAATCGGCTTTGTGACCCCTAAAATCGGCTTTGTGACCCTAAAATCGGCTTTGTGACCCTAAAATCACCCCAAAATTGGCTTTGTGCCCCTAAATGAGCCCCAAAAATCGGCTTTGTGACCCTAAAATTACCCCAAAAATCGGCTTTGTGACCCTAAATGAGCCCCAAAAATCCACTCTGTGACCCTAAAATCACTTCAAAAATCGGCTTTGTGCCCCAAAAATCGGCTTTGTGCCCCCAAAATCATCCCAGAAATCCTTTTTGTGACCCTAAATCAGCTCCTGTGTCCATAACCCCCCCCAAATCCTCTTTGTGCCCCTAAATCCGCTCCTGTGTCCATAAACCGCCCCAAAAATCGGCTTGGTGACCCTGAATGAGCCCCAAAATCCTCTTTTTGGCCCTGAGTGAGCCCCAAAAATCCCCCCTGTGCCCCTAAATCCGCTCCTGTGTCCATAAACCCCCGAAATCCTCTTTGTGCCCCTAAACTCCCCCCAGAAATCCCCAAACTGACCCCAAAATGCCCAAACTGAGCCCAAATCCCCAGCCTGACCCCAAAATGCCCAAATTCACCCCAAACCCCCAAATTGACCCCAAAATGCCCAAACTCCCCCCAAAACCCCCCGACTGACCCCAAAATGCTCGAACTGACCCCAAACCCGCAGCCTGCCCCCAAAATGCCCAAATTCACCCCAAACCCCCCAGGTGTGAGCCCGGCCATGGAGTGCACCTGCGTGCCCGACCTGCTGCTGACGGCGCCGCTGCCCGCGCTCTGGAGCCCAGGTACGGGGACACACACCTGGGGGCACCTGGGCACAGCTGGGGGCAGCTGAGATACACCTGGGGGCACACCTGGGATACACCTGAGCACACCTGGGATACACCTGAGCACACCTGGGCACACCTGGGATACACTGGGGGCACACCTGGACACACCTGGGCACACCTGGGCACAGCTGGGCACAGCTGGGGACACATGGGGCACACCTGGGCACAGCTGGGGCACAGCTGGGATGCACCCAGGGACAGCAATGATGTCACAGCGATGATGTCACACGGCGGTGACACCAATGATGCCACACCGATGACGTCACAGTGACGTCACCATGTCCCTGTTCAGGTTTCGCGTTCCCCGAGTGGGCACAGGAAGGGGTCAGGAGATGTCACACCAATGAGGTCACAGTGATGATGTCACAGTGCCGATGTCACAGAGACGATGTCACACCAATGATGTCACAAGGCAGTGACACTGATGATGTCACAGTGATGATGTCACACTGATGACATCACACCAATTATGTCACACTGATGCCATCCCCCCAGGGTTCGCGTTCCCCGAGTGGGCGCAGGAGGGACAGTGACGATGTCACACTGATGATGTCACACGGCGGTGACACTGATGATGTCACACCAATGACGTCACACCGACGACGTCACACCGATGCCATCCCCCGTCCCCCCTTTAGGTTTCGCGTTCCCCGAGTGGGCACATGAGGGGACAGTGATGATGTCACTCTGACAATGTCACACAGCGGTGACACTGATGATGTCACAGCAATGATGTCACACCGATGATGTCACACCGACTCTGTCCGTTGTCCCTTTCAGGTTTCGCGTTCCCCGAGTGGGCGCAGGAAGGACAGTGATGATGTCACAGTGACAATGTCACATTGATGATGTCACACTGATGATGTCACACCAATGACATCACACCGATGACGTCACACCGACTCTGTCCCCCATTCAGGCTTCGCGTTCCCCGAGTGGGCGTACAAGGCGGAGTCGAGCCCCGGCTCGCGGCAGATCCAGCTGTGGCACTTCATCCTGGAGCTGCTGCGGCAGGAGCGCTACCGCGAGGTCATCGCCTGGCAGGGCGACTACGGCGAGTTCGTCATCAAGGACCCCGACGAGGTGGCGCGGCTCTGGGGGGTGCGCAAGTGCAAGCCCCACATGAACTACGACAAGCTCAGCCGCGCCCTCAGGTACGCATTGGGCCCAAAATCCGGGATTTGGGGCATTTTTCCCATTTTTTTCCCCTTGAAAATTCAGAATTTTGGGGGGTTTTCCCTTTTTTCCCATTAATTTTGGTTTTTTTTTCCCATGAATTTTGGATTTTTTTCCCATTAATATTGGATTTTTTTCCCCATGAATGTTGGGGTTTTTCCCCTTTCTTTTCCCCTTTTTTCTCCCATGAATTTTGGGTTATTTCCCCCTTTTTTCCCCCATTAATTTTGCATTATTTCCCCGTTTTTTCCCCATGAATTTTGGGGTTTTCCCCCATGAATTTTGGGTTCTTTCCCCTTTTTTCCCCATGAAGTTTGGGTTTTTCCCCCATGAATTTTGGGTTCTTTCCCCTTTTTTCCCCATGAATTTTGGGTTATTTTCCCCCTTTTTCCCGTGGAAATTCGGGATTTTGGGTTTTTCCCCCAGGTATTACTACAACAAACGGATTCTGCACAAGACCAAAGGGAAAAGATTCACCTACAAATTCAACTTCAGCAAAGTGGTGCTGGTGAACTGCCCGCTGCTGGAATTTGGGGGGGGGGCTCCGCTCCTGCTGACCCCCGCCCCCTGCCCCGGCCCCGAGTGCGCGCCCCTCACCCCCGAGGTACGGCGGGGGGAATTGGGGAGGGGGCTTCGCTGGGGGAATTGGGGAGGGGGCTGCGTTCGAGGGGTTCGGAGTGATTTATGGGGGGGAATTGGGGAGGGGGCTTCGCTGGGGGAATTGGGGAGGGGGCTTCGGTGGGGGAATTGGGGAGGGGGCTGCGTCCGAGGGGCTCGGAGTGATTTATGGGGGGAATTGGGGAGGGGGCTTCAGCCAGAGCCGCCCCCGAGGGGTTCAGAGCGAGATCCGGGGGGAATTGGGGAGGGGGCTTCGCTGGGGGCTGTCCCAGAGGGGTTCGGAGTGATTTATGGGGGGAATTGGGTCGGGGGTCTCCAGCCGTGGGGGTTGGAATTGGGGCGGGGGTCTCAGGCCGGCGGGGTTGGAATTGGGGCGGGGGTCTCCAGACGGGGGGGGTTGGAATTGGGGCTGGGGTCTCCATAGCCCCCTCCCGAAATTCCCCTTCCCCCCCCAGACGCTGCAGTCGCTGTTCTGCGCCCCCCGCCCCCCCGAGCCCCCCGCGCCCCCCCCCCGTTCCAGAGACCCCCCGAGACCCCCGAGACCCCCGAGAAGCCCTTCCCGGGCCCCGGTAAGTGGGGAGGGGGCGCGACCCCCGGGGGGACCCCCGAATTGGGGAGCGGGGGGGGGGCGAACCCCCGAAATGGGGATCGGGAGGGGACCCCCGAAATGGGGATCGGGGGGGGGCGACCCCCGGGGCGACCCCCAAAATGGGGATCGGGGTGGGGGGAGACCCCCGAAATGGGGATCAGGGATGAAGCCCCCTCCCCAATTCCTGCCCCTGCCTCCCCAACCTGAAGCCCCCTCCCCAATCCCCCCTAACCTGAAGCCCCCTCCCCAATTCCCGCCCCCCCAACCTGAAGCCCCCTCCCCAATCCCCCCAACCTGACGCCCCCTCCCCAAATTCCCGCAGGTCTCTCCGGCTACTCGAAGGCTCCGGCGCTTTTTGGGGCGGGGGGCTTCGCGCGGCCCCCCCTGCCCGAGTACCCCTGGGGGTGGGGGTCGTACCTGCCGCTGCCCCCGCCCCCCGCCAAGCTGCCCCCTCCCCCCGGGGGTCTCTACCCCCCCCCGTTCTACCTGCCGCCCCCTCCCCCCGCGCCCCCCGCGACCCCCGCCCACCCCCCCCAGGCCGGGGGGGGGGAGGGGTCGGACTCGGAGCTGGAGGTGACGGATGGGGGAGGGGCGAGCTCGGGGGACGAGGCCGAGCCCCCCCCCCCAGCCCGGACCCCCCCCCCAGCGCAGACCCCCGCCCGCGGGAAGGGCCCCGCCCGCGCCTGAGAGACCCCCGGAATTGGGGAGGGGTCCCCAAACCCGGCCCTGATCCCCTGAATTGGGGAGGGGTCCCAAAACCCAGCCCTGACCTCCCTGAATTGGGGAGGGGTCCCAAAACCCAGCCCTGACCTCCCTGAATTGGGGAGGGGTCCCCAAACCCGGCCCTGAATTGGGGAGGGGTCCCCAAACCCGGCCCGGAACTGAGGAGGTGTCCCCCAAACCCGGCCCTGACCCCCCGGAATTGGGGAGGGGTCCCCAAACCCAGCCCCGAACCCCTGAATTGGGGAGGGGTCCCCAAACCCGGCCCTGAATTGGGGAGGGGTCCCTAAACCCAGCCCTGACCCCCCGGAATTGGGGAGGGGTCCCCAAACCCAACGTCCCCTAATTTGGGGAGGGGTCCCATGTAGGACCCTGACTCCCTCTAAATTTGGGGCGGGGGTCCCATCCAGCCCCCACCGCCCCTAAATTGAGGGGGGGGTCCCATCCAGCCCCGCCCCCTCCCCTTTTTCCCCTGATTTTGGGGAGGGGTCCGCCCTGCGCCCCCTCCCCTTTTTTCCCTGATTTTGGGGAGGGGTCCGCCCCGCGCCCCCTCCCCATTTTACGCCCCCCCCCCCTTTGGAAGTGCAATACGGTTGTGCCCCTCCCCCCCCCCCCCGTGTCGTTGTGATGGAGGAACGAGCCCCTCCCCCACCCAAAGACCCCTCCCCAAATTCCCGCCCCACCCCCACCCCCAAAGACCCCATCCCAAATTCCCGCCCCCCCCCCCCGCCGCCCCCTCCCCCCGGCGGCCGCTGAAGCAATAAAAGACCCCCGAGCTCGGCCTCGTTTTATTTGGGGGGGGGTCTCGGGGAGAGGGGGGGGGTCCTGGTGGGTTGGGGAGGGGTCTCCACCTGCGCCCCCTCCCAAAAAAAACCCAACTACGACAGAAGCGACTTTATTTGGCTTTTCCCCAAATTCTTTGGTTTTCCACCCAAATTGGGGGCGGGAGGAGAAATCTTTGGTGTGACGCCCCCTCCCCAAATTTATGTACATACCCCTCCCCCCCCCAGCGGTAAAATTGGGGAGGGGTCTCCCCCCTCCCCGCCCGGGTAGAAATTGATATAAAATCGCAGGAAATCGGTAAAAACAGAACGAACCGCGTGGGGGGGTGGGGGGACCCCTCCCCAAATTCGGGGTGAAAAGGGGGGGGTGGGAGCGGGGACCCCTCCCCAAATTCGGGGTGAAAAGGGGGGGGTGGGAGCGGGGACCCCTCCCCAAATTCGGGGTGAAAAGGGGGTGGGAGCGGGGACCCCTCCCCAAATTCGGGGTGAAAAGGGGAAGGGGTGGGGAGCGGGGACCCCTCCCCAAAACCGAAATCGCGCGGCCTTTGTCGCCCCCCGGCGGCGCCTCCCGGAACTGCAGCCCCGAATTTTGGGGGGGGTCGCGAATCCTCCTGGGGGGGGGGGGCGGGGGAGACCCCCGGGACCCCTCCCCAAATTGGGGCGGGGGGCTCACGTGAAGAGTCCGGGCTTGGCCAGGAAGAGCTGCCAGTAATGCTCCTCCATTTCCTGGGGGGGGGGCGGAATTTGGGGAGGGGTCCTCGCGGCGAGACCCCCCCCCCACCACTCCCACCCCTCCCACCCCTCCCCCACACCCATTTTTGGGCGGGGCGAAGACCCCAGACCCACTCAGGATTGGGGAGGGGGCGGGCCACAGCTCCACACAGCTTCCCCCAAAACCCCCCAAAAATCCCCAAATTCCCTCCAGGACCCCTCCCCAAATCCCCCAAATCCCTGAGCCCCCTCCCCAAATCCCGAGCCCCCTCCCCAAATTCTCACCTGCAGCCCCCTCAGGGCCTCCTCCAGCGCCCCCAACTCCTCCCCCAGCCAGGGTGGGGGACTCGGCGCCCCCTCCCCCGCGGGGCCGTTCGGGACCCCCCCTAAGGACAAGGGGGTCAGGGACCCCTCCCCAAAATAATCCCCGCGCTCCGCCCCCTTCTGCCTCCCCCCCTTTCCCCCCTCCCCATTTTTTTTGCCCCCTCCCCATTTCTTTGCCCCCTCCCCCTTTTTTTTGCCCCTCCCATTTACCCCCTCCCCTTTTTTTACCCCTCCCCATTTTCACCCCCTCCCCACTTTTTGCCCCCTCCCCTTTTATAGCCCCCTCCCCATTTGTTTTCCCCCTCCCCATTTGTTTTCCCCCTCCCCTTTTTCCCCCATTTTTTTACCCCCTCCCCATATTTCCCCCCTCCCCCTTTTCCCCCATTTTTTCCCCCCTCCCCATTTTCCCCCCTCCCCATTTTCCCCCCTCCCCATTTTTTGCCCTCCCTCCCATATTTTCGCCCCCTCCCCAAATTCCCCCCCCCCACCTGCCGCCCCCTCGGGGGGGTCCCCGTCGCTCTCGGCCCCATCCCCCGCGTGCCGCCGCTCCTGCTCGGGGAGGGTCGCGCCGGGACCCCCCCCCAAATCCTGCCCGGGGGGGAGGGGCGGCGCCGGCCCCTCCCCCACCCGCAGCCGCCGCCGCAGCGCCGAGAGGGGGGGGGGGGGAGGGGATTTAGTGGATTTGGGGTATTTTGGGGGGATTTGGGGGGTAATTTAGGAGGGATTAGGGGGTCACAGCTGATTTTGGGGGGGTCAGAGGGGAATTTGGGGGGTCAGAGCTCATTTTGGGGGGGGTCTCACCTCTCTGCAGGGCGGCGGCCGCCAGCCCCCCCCCCCTCGGGGCCGCGGGGGGGTCGGGGGAGCCCCCCCAGCCCCCCCCGCTCGGGGGGGTCCCCGAATTCGGTGCCTTCCACGGCCCCGTCCTTGTCCCGCTCTGCGGGGGCAGTGCTGAGAGCCCGAAAACACCCGAAAAACCAGCCAAAAACACCCCAAAAACACCCAAAAAACCAGCCCAAAACCACCTCAAAAACACCCCCAAAACCAGCCCAAAATCATCCCAAAAACATCCCCCAAAACACCCCAAAACCACCCCAAAACCACCCCCAAAACCAGCCCGAAATCACCCCAAAAACATCCCCAAAACCACCCCCAAAACCAGTCCAAGATCATCCCAAAAACATCCCCAAAAGCACCCCAAAACCAGCCCAAAAACATCCCCAAAACCAGCCCAAAATCACCCCATAAACACCACAAAAAGAACCCAAAATGATCCTCAAAACCAGCCCAAAACCAGCCCATAAACATCCCCAAAACCACCCCCAAATCATCCCAAAAACATCCCCAAAAGCACCCCAAAAAACCATCCCAAAAGCACCCCAAAAACACCCCCCAAACCAGCACAAAACCACCCCAAAAACATCCCCAAAACCACCCCCAAAACCAGCCCAAAATCATCCCAAAAAAGTCCCCCAAAACACCCCCAAAACCGGCCCAAAACCAACCCCAAAACACCCCCAAACCCAGCCCAAAACCAGCCCAAAATCATCCCAAAAACATCCCCAAAAGCACCCCAAAAACCAGCCCAAAACCAGCCCAAAAGCACCCCCAAAACACCCCAAAAACACCCCAAAACCACCCCCAAAATCATCCCCAAAACCGCCTCACAATCAACCCAAAACCACCCCCCAAAACAGCCCCAAAAATCCCCCAAATCCCCCCAGACCCCCCCAAACCGCCCCTCCCCCCTCACCATCCAGGGGCAGCGGCTCCTTCAGGGACCCCCCCCCATTTTCGGAGGGGTCCCGGTAACTGCGGGGGGAGGGGCGAGGGTCAGCGGGGAGACCCCAAAATCCCCCAAAATCCCCCCAAATCCCCCCAAATCCCCCGGGGAGCTGGGGGGGCACGGGAGGGGGGTTTGGGGGGTTTTGGGGGAATTTTGGGGTTTTTTGGGTGGGTTTAGTGGTGGGTTTGGGGGATTTTGAGGAGTTTTGGGGAGTTTGGGGGTTTTGGGAAGGTTTTGGGGTGGGGTTTTGGGGTCCCTGGGTGGGTTTTGGGATAATTTTGGGGTGTTTTGGGTCTGTACTCATTCTAGGGGGGGTCGGGGGGTGTCTGGGTGGGTTTTGGGGGATTTTGGGGTAATTTTGGGGTGTTTTGGGGCTGTACTCCCTCCAGGGGGGCTCTGGGTGTGTTTTGGGGGTCCCTGGATGGGTTTTTGGGGTAATTTGGGGGGTTTTTCGGTCTGTACTCACTCCAGGAGGATCAGGATGGATTTTGGGGGTCCCTGGGTGGGTTTTTCGGGGAATTTTGGGGTTATTTTGGAGTGTTTTGGGTCCGTACTCCCTCCAGGGGCCTCTGGGTGGGTTTTGGGGTAATTCTGGGGGTTTTTGGGGTCACACTCACTCCAGGGGGGCCGGGGGGCCGTGTCCCCCCCCGGGCTGCGCCCCCTTCCCCCGGAGGGTCTCCGGCAGCTTCAGGGACCCGGCGGCGTCGGTGATGATGCTGCACCAGCTGGAAAGGGGGGTCAGCCCCAAAGACCCCCAAAATCCCCCCAAATCCCCCCAAAAACAGACCCACAGCACACCCCAAACCCCCAACCCCCCCAAATTCCCCAATTCCCCACAAAAACATCCCACAGGACAGCCGAAATCCACCAAATTCCCCTAAAACGAACCCACAGGACCCCCCCAAACCCCCCAAAATCCCCCCGAACACCCCTCCTGGACACCCCAAACCCCCCAAAATCCCCCCAAATCCCCCCAAACACCCCTCCTGGACACCCCAAACGCCCCCAAACCCCCCAGGACCCCCCAATCCCCCCGGGACCCCTCCTCACGTTTTCCTGTCGGCCACGCTGGGCGCTACCAGCTCATAGATCTGAGCCCCGTCCTCCCAGCTGGCGATGACGTAGAACGCTTTGTGGTCTGGGGGCGAAATCGGGGGGCTGGGGGCACCCCGGACCGGGAGACCCCCAAAAACACGGCCCAGGACCCCCAGAAATGGGATTTGGGGCACCCCGGAGTGGGACACCCCCAAAAACACAGCCCGGGACCCCCAGAAGTGACACTGGGGGGGCTCAGGGGGACCCCAGCCGCAAGAGTCGGCCCCAAAAGGGCCCAAATTGGCCCCAAAACGGCCCCGGTTGGCCTCAAGTGGCCCCAAACCGGCCCCGAGTGGCCCCAAACCAGCCCCAAATGGCCCCAAATTGGCCCCGAGTGGGGGTCTGTCCCCCCAAAAAGGGGTTCAGCCCCCCAATAACCCCCCAAAATCAGCCCCCAGTCTCACCTGTGGCCACCTGGCGGGTCATGGCGCAGCGCAGGCGGATCACGGGGCTCAGGGTGCGTTTGCCCCCCAAAAATGGGGTTTTACCCTCCAAAAAAGGGGTTTTACCCCCCAATAACCCCCCAAAAAAGGGGTCCAGCCCCCCAAAAGCAGCCCCCAGCCTCACCTGTGGCCACCTGGCGGGTCATGGCGCAGCGCAGGCGGATCACGGGGCTCAGGGTGCGTTTGCCCCCCAAAAATGGGGTTTTACCCCCCAAAAAAGGGGGTTTACCTCCCAATAACCCCCCAAAAAAGGGGTCCAGCCCCCCAAAATCAGCCCCCAGCCGTACCTGTGGCCACCTGGCGGGTCATGGCGCAGCGCAGCCGGATCACCGGGCTCAGGGTGCGTTTGCCCCCCAGAATCACCCCCAAAAAGGGGTTCAGCCCCCCAGAAAAGGGGTTTTATCCCCCAGAAAAGGGGTTCAGCCCCCCAAAAGCAGCCCCCAGTCTCACCTGTGGCCACCTGGCGGGTCATGGCGCAGCGCAGGCGGATCACGGGGCTCAGGGTGCGTTTCCCGTCGGGCGCGGGCGCCAGGGCGCGGCTGTGGCAGCGCAGCAGCAGCCGCTCCTCGTGCCGCTGCAGCAGCACCAGCAGATCGTCCAGCAGCAGCACCTGCACCTCTGCAGCCCCCCGGGTCGGTGTTGGGGGGTCCCGGCCCCCCAAACCCGGATTGGGGGGGTTTGGGGAGGATTTGGGGGGATTTGGGGGGGATTTGGGGGGGATTTGGGGGGGATTTGGGGGGATTTGGGGGGATTTGGGGCTCACCCACGGCTTTGTCGCGGGCCACGCGCCAGGTGAGCGGCCCCTCGTGCACCAGCGTGCGCTTGGTGATGTCCGTGTTCTGTTTTGGGGGGATTTGGGGGGCTCAGGGGGGATTTGGGGGGGATTTGGGGGGCTCAGGCGGCATTTGGGGGGATCTGGGGGGGCTCCGGGGGGATTTGGGGGGGATTTTGGGGGGCTCAGGCGGGATTTGGGGGGATCTGGGGGGATTTGGGGGGGCTCCGGGGGGATTTGGGGGGGATTTGGGGGACTCAGGTGGGATTTGGGGGGATTTTGGGGGGGTCAGGGGGGATTTGGGGGAATTTGGGGGACTCAGGTGGGATTTGGGGAGGATTTGGGGGGGATTTGGGGGGCTCAGGGGGGATTTTGGGGGCTCAGGGAGTATTTGGGGAGGATTTGGGGGAGATTTGAGGGACCCAGGGGGGATTTGGGGGGGATTTGGGGGGCTCAGGCGGCATTTGGGGGGGATTTGGGGGGGATTGGGAGGATTTGGGACAGGATTTTTGGGGATCTGGGGGGGTTTGGTTGGGGAATTTCTGAGGATTTGGGGGAATTTGGGGGGTTTGGTGCCCTCAGAGCCACGATCGGGGGCGCTGAGGGGTTTGGGGGGGCTCGGGAGGTTTTGGGGTGACTCTGGGCAGGATTTGGGGGTGGGTTTGGGGGTCCCGGGCCCCCCCCGACCTTGAACTCGTTGAGGAGGGGGTCGGAGCTCTGCTTCACTCCGGAGAGGTCGAGGCGGCGCTGGTAATCCTTCAGCTTCTGCAGGGGGATTTCGGGGGGATTTGGGGGATTTCGGGGGAATTTCGGGGGTCCCGGGGGGATTTAGGGGGTCCCGGGGGGAATTTGGGGTGTCCTGGGGGGGTCCAAGTGGGAATTTGGGGAATCCAGGGGGTCCCGGGTGGAATTTGGGGTGTCCCAGGGGGAATTTGGGGTTCCCAGTGGAATTTTGGGGTTCCCGCTGGATTTGGGGGTTCCCGCTGGATTTGGGGGTTCCCGCTGGATTTGGGGGTTGGATTTGGGGGTTCCCGCTGGATTTGGGGGTTCCCGCTGGATTTGGGGGTTGGATTTGGGGGTTCCCACTGGATTTGGGGGTTCCTGCTGGAATTTGGGGGTTCCCGTTGGAATTTGGGGTTCCCTCTGGATTTTGGGGTACCATCAGGTTCTCCATGTCGCGCACTTCGCGGTTGACGCGGTTCAGGATCTGCCGGCAGCACTCGGCCGCGCGCTGAACCTTGGAGCGCTCGGCCGCCTCCTCTGCATTTTGGGGAAAATTCGGGGGATTTTGGGGTTTTGGGGGAATTTTGGGGCACCTTGGCGCGCTCGGCAGCCTCCTCTGCGGGATTTTGGGGAATTTTGGGGGATTTTTGGGGTTTTTGGGGAATTTTGGGGCACCTTGGCGCGCTCGGCAGCCTCCTCTGGATTTTGGGGAAAATTTGGGGGATTTTGGGGTTTTTGGGGAATTTTGGGGCACCTTGGTGTGCTCAGCTGCCTCCTCTGGGGGGTTTTGGGGGTGTTTTTGGGGGGATTTTGGGGTTTTTGGGGAGTTTTGGGGCACCTTGGCGCGCTCGGCCGCCTCCTCTGTATTTCGGGGAAAATTTGGGGAATTTTGGGGTTTTTGGGGAATTTTTGGGGTTTTGTGGGAATTTTTGGGGCATCTTGGCGCGCTCGGCCGCCTCCTCTGGGGGATTTTGGGGTGATTTTGGGGTTCCGTGGGGGTTCAGGGGTGGTTTTTGGGGTTTGGGGGGCTGTTTGGGGCAGTTTTTTGGGTTCAGGGGAGTTCGGGGGTGGTTTCTGGGGTCCGGGGTTGGTTTTTGGGGTTCAGGGCTGGTTTTTGGTGTTCAGAGAGAGGTTTTGGGGCAGTTTTGGGGTTTTTTGGGGGTTCAGGGGTGGTTTTTTGGGTTCGGGGGGGTTCATGTATGGTGTCTGGGGTCCGGGGTTGGTTTTTGGGGCAGTTTTTGGGGTTTTTGAAGGTTCAGAGGGGGGTTTTTGGGGTCCGGGGGGGTTCAGGGCTGGTTTCTGGGATCCGGGGTCGGTTTTTGGGGTTCAGGGTGGTTTTGGGGACCCCTACCCGTGCACTTGGTGATGCTGAGCAGCAGCAGGGGGTACTTGGTCAGCCGCTGCATCTCGGTGGGGATGATGTCCTTCAGCTGCAGCCGCCGGCAGCGCGGCCGGCTCTCCGCCTCCTGGGGGGACGGGGGGTTTTGGGGGGTCCCGGGGGGGTTTTGGGGGTCCCAGGGGGGGTTTGGGGGATACTGGGACAGGGGTTTGGGGGTCCTGGGGGGGGTTATTGGGGTGTCCCAGGTGGTTTGGGGTACCTGGGAGGTGTTTTTGGGGTGTTTCGGTGTGTTTTCAGGGCGTTTTTGGGTGCTTTTGGGCATTTCGGGGTGTTTCAGGGTGGCATTTGGGTGTTTTCGTGCAGTTTTAGGGTGCTTTTGGATGTTTCGGGATGGTTTTGGGTGTTTTCGGGCTGTTTTGGGCTGGTTTTGGATGTTTCAGAGTGGTTTTTGGATGTTTCAGGGTGGCTTTTGGGTGTTTTCCTGCAGTTTTAGGGTGCTTTTGGATGTTTCAAGGTGGTTCTTGGGTGTTTCAGGGTGGTTTTTGGGTGTTTTTGGGTGTTTTCGGGCAGTTTTTGGGTGTTTTCAGCCCGTTTCCGGGTGTTTCGGGTACCTGGATGAACTGGCTGAAGCGCGTGTCCTTCCTCTGTTTGGCCTTGAGCTGCTCCAGGGCGAAGCTCTGGCGGCTGCAGAACCGCGCCGAGATCTTCTGGAACCAACTGCCCTCCGTGCCCTCGAACTGGGGGGCACCGGGGACCCCAAAACCAAAGGTGAGACTCCTCAGAACACCGGGGGACCCCAAAACCAAAGGTGAGACCCCGCAGAACACCGGGGGACCCCAAAACCAAAGGTGAGACCCCGCAGAAAACAGGGGAACCCCAAAACCAACGCTCAGACCCCACAGAACACCGGGGAACCCCAAAACCAATGCTGAGACCCCTCAGAAAACCAGAGGGACCCCAAAACCACCGCTCAGACCCCGCAGAAAACCGGGGAACCCCAAAACCACCGCTCAGACCCCGCAGAAAACAGGGAACCCCAAAACCAACGCTCAGACCCCGCAGAACACCGGGGAACGCCCAAAAAGTGCCAGACCCTCAAAAAAGGACCCCAGACCCCCCAAAAGGGACCCCAGAACACCAAAAAGGGACCCCAGACCCTCAAAAAAGGACCCCAGACCCCCAAAAAGGGACCCCAGACCATCAAAAAAGGACCCCAGACCCTCAAAAAAGGACCCCAGAGCCACAAAAAAAGACCTCAGACCCCCAGAAAGGACCCCAGACCCCCAAAAAAGGACCCCCAGACCCCCTCAGGGACCCCCCAATCTCCCCCTGCCCAGCAGCCCGCTCCTGATCTCGGTGACCACAGACCCAAAACCCCCCCCAACTTCGATCCCTGTGACCCCCTGGACCCCCCACTTCCCCAGGACCCCCCAAAAATCCCAGGACCCCCCAGAGAAGCCCACCCTGGCCAGCAGCACGTCCCCGATCTCAGCGATGATGAAACCGCTCTCCTCCCGCAGCTTCTTGAGGCTGTCCAGGAACGCGGCTGGAGGGGGGAAGGACCCAAAAAAATCAATTAAAACCCCCAAAAAATCCCCCCAAAACCCCCAAAATCCCCCCCAGGGACTCACTGTGCACCTCCACCAGGTCCTCCAGGCTGGGGAAGATGTTGGAGAGCTCCTGCTCGTCGAAGAAGCCCTCGCGGAGCATCGGCTGGTAAAAGAGCTCCAGCAGCACCCGCAGCATGCGGACGTGGGCGTGCTCCGTCAGGAACAGCTCTGGGGGGATTTGGGGGGATTTGGGGGGTCCCCAGGGGTCTGGGGGGTCCCTCAGGGGGATTCGGGGGCATTTGGGGGGATTTGGGGAGGATTTGGGGGGGATTTGGGGGGTCTGGGGGGTCCCTCAGGGGGATTTGCGGGGATTTGGGGGGATTTGGGGGTCTGGGGGATCCCTCAGGGGGATTTGGGGAGGATTTGGGGGGATTTGGGGGGTCTGGGGGGTCCCTCAGGGGGATTTGGGGGGAATTTGGGGGGATTTGGGGGGGTTTGGGGGGAATTTGGGGGGATTTGGGGGGCTTTGGGGGGGTTTAGGGGGATTTGGGGGGGGATTTGGGGGGATTTGGGGGCTCTGGGCAGCTCCAGCAGCACCCGCAGCATGCGGACGTGGGCGTGCTCCATCAGGAACAGCTCTGGGGGGATTTGGGGGGATTTGGGGGATCCCCAGGGGTCTGGGGGGTCCCTGAGGGGGATTCGGGGGCATTTGGGGGGATTTGGGGGGATTTGGGGGGGATTTGGGGGTCTGGGGGGTCCCTCAGGGGGATTTGGGGGGAGGTTTGGGGTATTTCAGCTGGGTTTTTGGGGTATTCCAGCCGGTTTTTGGGACATTCCAGCCATTTTTTGGGGTGCTCCAGCCCGATTTGGGGTGTCTCACCGTTGAGGACCTCCTGGCGCCGCACCTCGCGCTGGGGCAGCCCCCGCAGCGCTTCGGGGGCCGCGCGCTCCCGCCAGGCCGGGGGGTCCTGCTCCAGCAGCTCCGGCTCCACGCGCCCCACAGACCCCTCAGACCCCCCCCCGGGCGGGGGGTCGCCCCCTCCGGGCCCCCCCGGCTCCGGGCTGCCCGAAAAAGGGGGAGGGGGACAGGGTTAGGGGGGCGCGGGCGGGGTTTGGGGTGGGGGACCCCAAAATCCCAAATTGGGGGGGTCTCGCACTGATCCTGACCCAAATATCCCAAATTGGGGGGGGGGGGGGTCTCGCACTGATCCTGGCCCAAATCCCAAATTGGGGGAGGGGGGTTTTAACAGTGGTTCTGGGAGTGTAACCCCAAATCCCAGGGGGGTTTGAACCCCAATCCTGGAATGTTTTAACCGAAATCCTGGGGTTTAACCCCAAATTCTGGGGTTTCACCCCAAATCCCAGGGGGGTTTAACCCAAATCTTGGGGGGTTTGAACACAAATCTTGGGGTTTTAACCCAAATCCTGTGGTTTTAACCCAAATCCTGTGGTTTTAACCCCAATTCTGGGTTTTACCCCAGTCCTGGGAGGTTTTTACCCCAATCCTGTTTTTTTACCCCAGTTCTGGGTTGTTTTGACCCCAACCCTGTTTTTTCCCCCCAAATCCTGTTTTTTTCCCCCCAAATCCCGTTTTTTTCACCCAAATCCCATTTTTTTTCCCCCAAATCCCTGTTTTTTCACCCCACATCCCGATTTTCCCCCCCAAATCCCGTTTTTTTCACCCAAATCCCATATTTTCCCCCCCAAATCCTGTTTTTTTCACCCCAAATCCTGTTTTTTCCCCCCTCAAACCCCATTTGGGGAGGGGTCTCACCCCCCAGGCCCCCCCGGACCTACGTGGGGGGGGGTCCCTGCAGGTCGGCGTTGCTGCGGGAGCGGGGGGGGGGCGGCTGGAGACCCCCCCCCGATTTTTGGGAGCGGCGGCGCTCGGGGGGGGCCCCGAGACTCTCAGAGCGCCCCAACCTGGGGGGGATCCTGGGGGGCCCCAAAAAAGCCGAAATACGGGGGGGGGCACGGACGGGACAATGACAGAGACAGAAATTGGGGGGGGGTCCCAAAAATCCCAAAAAAAGGGGGGGGGGCACAAGGACAGAGACAGAAATTTGGGGAGGGGGCGTGCAGGAGAACAGCCGTGAGCGGTTTTTGGGGAGGGGGCGCCCGTGCGGGGTGGGGGAGGGGAGGGGGGGGTACTTAGCTGGTTAATTTGGGGAGGGGGCAATGCCGACACCCCCCCCGGGTCATGCAAGGGGGGGGGCACCAACCTGAGGCGGCGTCTGGGGAGAGAAGCGAATTTGGGGAGGGGTCCTGGACCCCCAAAAGCGATCAGGGGTAATTAGGGGGGGTTAATTTGGGGAGGGGGGGTTAATTTGGGGGGGGTCCCAGCTCCCAAAGGCATTCAGGGTTAATTGGGGGGGTTAATTAGGGGAGGGGGGGTTAATCTCAGGAGGGGTCCTGGCCCCCCAAAAGTGATCAGGGGTAATTAGGGGGGGGGTTAATTGGGGGGGGGTTATTTGGGGTCTGGGGTCACTGTGGGGTGGTGGGGGGGGGCACATTTTGGGTTGGGAGGGTCTCACCCTAAATTTTGGGGGGTCTCACCCTAAATTTGAGGGGGGGGGGTCTCACCCTAAATTGGGGGGGATCTCACCCTAAATTTGGGGAGGGGTCTCACCCTAAATTTGGGGAGGGGCCACACCCTAAATTTGAGGGAGGGTCACACGTTAAATTTGGGGACGGGTCTCACCCTAAATTTGAGGGGGGGTCTCACCCTAAATTCGGGGAGGGGTCTCACCCTAAATTTGGGGAGGGGTCTCACCCACCTGTCGCTGCTCTCAGCCCCCCCCTCCTCTGCCGGGGGCTCCGGGGGGGGCTCTGGGAGGGGCTCCCCCAATTCGGGGGGTCCGGGGGGGTCGGTTCCTGTGGGGGGGGGGGATTTAGGGTGGGGGTCTGCAGGAGTGAGACCCCCACCCCAAATTCCCCCTCCCCCCCCCTCACCTGTCTCGGCCTCGGTGCTGTCCCCGCCCGGGGGGGGAGGGGCGGTGGTGGGGGGGGGTCCTGGGGGGGGGTCGGGGGTCCCAACCGGACCCCCCCCCCACGCGGGGGGGGCGGGAGGACCCCCCCTCACCCCCCCTCGGGACCCTCCGATCGGGGGGGAGGGGCTTCTCGGCTGGGGAGGGGGAGAAAGGGGGGGGGTCAGGGGGTGAGACCCCAGACCCAAAATTGGGGGGGGGGGGGGAGCAAGGGAAACCCCCCACCCAGAAAATTGGGGACTCCCAACTGGGGGGATTGGGGTGGGGTAAATGGGGTGGGGGTCGCGGGGGGGGGGATAAATGGGGGGGTCCCATGGGGGATATTTGGGGTGGGGGTCCTATGGGAGAGGCTGAGACCCCCAAGTCAGGGGGGATAAATGGGGTGGGGGTCCCACAGGGGGGATAAATGGGGTGGGGGTCCCAAGGGGGTAAATGGGGTGGGGGTCCCGGGGGGGATATTTGGGGTGGGGGTCCCGGGGGGATAAATGGGGTGGGGGTCCCACGGGGATAAATGGGGTGGGGGTCCCATGGGGATAAATGGGGTGGGGGTCCCAGGTGGGTAAATGGGGAGGGGGTCCCCGGGGGATATTTGGGGAGGGGGTCCCGGGGGGGATATTTGGGGTGGGGGTCCCGGGGGGATAAATGGGGTGGGGGTCCCGGGGGGATATTTGGGGTGGGGGTCCCGGGGGGATAAATGGGGTGGGGGTCCCAATGGGATAAATGGGGTGGGGGTCCCGGGGGGATATTTGGGGTGGGGGTCCCACAGGGGATATTTGGGGAGGGGTCCGGGGGTACCTTCGCCCTCAGGGCCTTTGCTCTGCCTGATCTCAGCACCTACGGAACAAAATTTGGGGAGGGGTCTCTCACCCCCACAGCCCCCCCCCAGAATTTGGGGAGGGGTCTCCCACCCCCGTATCCCTTGGCAGAATTTGGGGAGGGGTCTCCCACCCCCGTATCCCCCCCAGAATTTGGGGAGGGGTCTCCCACCCCCGTATCCCCCTGCAGAATATGGGGAGGGGTCTCCCACCCCCGTATCCCCCCCAGAATTTGGGGAGGGGTCTCCCACTCACCGTGGGGGTCTCGGCCCCACAGCGCGGCCCCGGGGAGGCTGAAACCCTTCCGGGCCTTTCCCTGGGGGTCCTTCCCGGAGATCTGTGGGGAGGGGGCGGTGAGGAGGGGTCTCGGGGGGGTCTCGGGGGTGAATTTGGGGAGGGGTCTCACCTTCATGCGGAAAAAGTTGGATTTGGGTTTTTTGGCCTCTCCCCCCTTCGGTCGGACCCCCAAAAACTTCAGGTACGAAACGATGGCGCCGAAAATCAGCGAACTGGGGGGATTTTGGGGGGATTTGGGGGGATTTGGGGGGGATTTGGGGGGATTTGGGGAGATTTGGGGGGGATTTGGGGGGATTTGGGCAGGATTTGGGGGGGATTTGGGGGGGATTTGGGGGGATTTGGGGGGATTTGGGGGATTTGGGGGTCTCAGGGGGATTTGGGGGAATTTGGGGGGATTTGGGGGGGATTTGGGGGGCTTTGGGAGGGGATTTGGGGGGATTTGGGGGGTCTCAGGGGGGATTTGGGGGGTCAGGGGGGATTTGGGGGGGCTCAGGGGGGATTTGGGGGATTTGGGGGGATTTGGGGGGATTGGGGGACCCCCCGCCCCCCTCGGAGTCCCCTTGGGACCCCCCCCCGCCCCCCAAGACCCCTCCTCACCTTTTCTCCTCGTCGGACGAGATGGTCGGGCTGGGGGGGGGGAGAGCGGGGTCACCCCAAAATCCAGCGGGAATTTTGGGGCGAATTCCCGCGGATTTGGGACCGGGATTCCCATGGGATGGGCGGGAATTTTTCCCCAGGGATTTGAGGAGGGGTCTCCCTGCCGGAAGCCCCCTCCCCACTCACTGCATCTCCTTGTATTTCCGGGGGGAATTCCCGAGGATTTGGGACTGGGATTCCCACGGAAGGGGATGGCTTTCGCCATGGATTTGGGGGTCTTTCCATGGATTTTTGGGGTGAATTCCCGTGGATTTGGGACCAGGATTCCCAGAGATCACACTGGGGCTTTTCCCGTGGATTTTGGGGGGGGGGGTGTCTTTCCATGGATTTTTGGGGCGAATTCCCGAGAATTTGGGACTGGGATTCCCGCAGGTCTTATGGGGCTTTTCCCGTGGATTTTGGGGTTCCTTCCATGGATTTTTGGGGCAGATTCCTGAGAATTTGGGACCGGGATTCCCATGGAAGGGGGACGGTTTCCCTGCAGTCTTGGGGGGTCTTTCCTTGGATTTTTGGGGTGAATTCCTGAGGATTTGGAACAGGGATTCCCACAGATCCCATGGGGGGTTTTCCCTGCAGTTTTGGGGGCCTTTTCTTGGATTTTTGGGGCAAATTCCTGCGGATTTGGGACCAGGACAGGGGGTAATTTTTCCCCGCGGATTTGAGGAGGGGTCTCGCAGTCCGAAGCCCCCTCCCCACTCACTGCATCTCCTCCAGCCGCGCCAGCAGCCCCTGCGCCAGCAGCCGCTCCCGCGCCTCGCAGCCCGCGGGGTCCCGCGCCCGGCCCCGCTCCAGCTCCGCCAGCTCCGCTTCCCCCGGCGTCATCCCCATCAGCCGCTTCGACCTGGGGAGGGGGCGCGGGGCTGAGACCCCCGCCCACCCCCTGAGACCCCCCAGACCCCGGGCTGAGCCCACCGACCCAAATTGCGCACCTGAAGTCCTCCAGCTGGCGGCGGATCTCCGGCTCCTGGAGGCTCTGCACGTCCCGCAGGAAGCGGCGCTGCGTCTCCTCGGGCAGCAGCTCCGGGCGGCTGCGCTCTGCCGAGACCCCTCCCCAATTTACTGGGGGGTCCCAGGGGGGTGCCAAGGGGGGCAGAGACCCCTCCCCACTTTTACTGGGGGGTCCCAGGGGGGGCAGAGACCCCTCCCCACTTTTACTGGGGGGTCCCAGGGGGGTGCCAGGGGGGGCAGAGACCCCTCCTCACTTTTACAGAGGGGTTTGGGGAGGGGTCCCTGGGGAGCAGAGACCCCTCCCCACTTTTAGAGGGGGGGCTGAGGGGGCAGAGACCCCTCCCCACTTTTACAGAGGGGTTTGGGTCCCATAGGGGGGATAAATGGGGTGGGGGTCCCGCGTGGGGGTAATTGGGGTGGGGGTCCCACAGGGGGGTAATTGGGGTGCCCCCAAAGCCCCCCACCAAGCTCGGGGAGTTTCTGGAAGTTTCCAGGAGGGATTTTGGGGAGGCTCTCAAAATGAGGAAGGGGTTGGGGGTCTGTGAAAATGAGGAGGGGGTCGGGGGGTCTGTGAAATTGAGGAGGTGGTCGGGGGTCTCTGGAATTGAGGAGGGGGTCGGGGGTCTCACTCACCCAGCTCAAACTGGACGTGGTGTGGGACAGGCACCCGCAGGAGCTGTCAGGGATGGGGAGGGGGTGTCAGGATTTTGGGGGTCACTCCTGGGGTGGGGAGGGGGTCTGGGGTGGAATTTGGGGAGGGGTCTCACCCCCGCCTTGTCCAGGAACAGATGGCAGAACTCCTGGAACTGCTTCCTCCCCTCCTTGGGGCTCATCCTCCTCATCATCTCCGCGTGCAGGTAGCACAGCTGGGGTGGGGGGGTGGGAAATGGGGTGACCCCCTCCCCAAAAACACCCAAACCCCCTCCCCAAATTCCCCCCTCCCCAAATTCCCCCTTCCCAAACTCCCCCTCCCCAAACTCCCCCTCCCCAATTTACCTCATCTCCACCCCTGCCGGCGGGGAGGGGGGAACAGAGACATGACATTACTCCGAGTCCGCAGCCCCCCAACCCCCTCTGCCCCCCTCCAGGGGGGTAAAAAACCCCCCAAAATTTTGGGTGGGGGTCTCGGAGCCCCCTCCCCATCTCACCACGGGGCAGGGGTCGAACTGGAGCACGACGTGCTGCAGGAAGGCCGCCAGGGCCAGCGGCCGCTGCCGCAGCAGCTCCAGGCTCTGGAAGGGGCTGCTCTGCTCCTCGGGGGTCTGCACGGGGGGCGCGGGGTCAGAATTAGGGTGGGGGGCGCGGTGGGGTGGGCAGGGGGACCCCAAACGCCCCCTCCCCTCAGGGACCCCTCCCCACGCTCACGGGTTCGATGTCGTTCTCGAAGTCCTCATCCTCCGCGCCGATGATGGGGGCGGCCGGGGGGGGCTGGGGGGCAGCGGGGGGTGGGGGGTCGGGGGTCCCACAGACTGCCCGGGACACCCCCAGACCCCCGAGACCCTCCCCCCATACCGAGACTCCCCAGGACCCCTGAGAGCCCCCAGACCCCCGAGACCCCAGGACCCCCCAGTACCCTCCCTGAGACCCCCAAACCCCAGAGACCCCCCAGACCCCCAGGACCCCCCCCCCAATACCGAGACTCCCAGGACCCCCCAGACCCCCGAGACCCCCAGACTGAGACCCCCAAGACCCCCAGAACCCCTCAGGACCCCCGAGACCCCCAGGACCGCCCAAGACCCTCCCTGAGACCCCCAAACCCCAGAGACCCCCCAGACCCCCAGGACCCTTCAGGACCCCCCCCATACCGAGACCCCCAGGACCCCCCAGACCCCCGAGACCCCCAGACTGAGACGCCAGGATGCCAGAAGCCCCCCAGAGACCCCCAGGACCCCCCAGACCCCCGAGACCCCCAGACCGAGACTCCCCTGACACCCAGGACCCCCCCAGACCCCCAGACTGAGACCCCCCAGACCCCCCGGACCCCCCAGACCCCCCGGACCCCCGCGATCTCAGCCCCCATGGGACTCCCAACACCCCAGACCCCTGAGCCCCCCAAACCCGGGGGTCCACCAGGCCCTGCGACCCCCGGGACCCCCCCGCACGCCCGCGGGATTTTGGGGGGGGGGTCTCAGGACCCCCGGGGCTCACCCCATTAAATCTCTCCTCGGGGTCCATCCTGCTCGCGGGGGGGGGGCTCGTCCTGTCAGGAGTTTGGGGGGGGGGTCTCAGGATTTGGGGGGGGGGGGTCCCAGGGGTCGTGGGGGGTTTCTCTGCACCCCCCTCGAATTTGGGGAGGGGTCAGGGGTGGGGAGGGGGCGGTGCCGCGCCCCAAACGCCTCGGGGAGGGGGAGGGGAGCGGGGCGGACCCCCCCAAAAAACCGTTTTGGGGTGGGGGACACGCGTGGGAACCCGGGGGGCGACCCCGGGGGGCGAAGGGGAACTTGGGGGGCGTTTTTGGGGGTCTCGGGGGGGCCCAGGGGACCCCCACCCATCCCCCCCCCCCCCCGTACCTGTTTCTGCGCCGGAGAAACGGTCCAGGAAATGGGGGGGGGCGGGGTGGGGGCGGGGCCGGAGGTTTTTGGGGGGGATTCGGGTGGTTTTGGGGCGGGGGGGGCTGGGCTGGCCGGAAAAAGGCGGTCCCGGGGCGGGGGCGGGATTTTGGGGGGGTTCGGGGGGTTTTGGGGCGGAAAAGGGCGTTCCCGGGATTTTGGGGGGGTTTTGGGTGGTTTTGGGCCGGAAAAAGGCGTTCCCGGGGCGGGGTCGGGGTTTTTGGGGGGGTTTGGGTGTTTTGGGGGGGTTTTGGGTGGTTTTGGGCCGGAAAAAGGCGTTCCCGGGGCGGGGTCGGGGTTTTTGGGGGGGTTTGGGTGTTTTGGGGGGGTTTGGGTATTTTTGGGCCGGAAAAAGGCGTTCCCGGGCGTCGCCGGAGCTTCCTGCAGGAAGTGGCGTGGGACCCACGGGTGGCACCCACGGGTGGGACCCACAGAAACCCCCTCGGGGTGTGACCCACGGAACCCCCGTGGGGTGGGACCCACAGACCCACCCCACGGAGACCCCCACTCCAGTGCCAGGAACGCCCGTGACTCGGGGATCCTCTGAGCCCCCAGACCCAAATCTTGGCACCCCAAACCCCCGAGACCCCCAGAGCCGAGCTGTGACACCCCGGTGCTGAGACCCCCGGGCTCCTGAGCCCCCAGACTCAAATCCCGAGAGCCCAACACGAGATCCTCCATTCCCCAAGCCCCCCGCGCACCCCGTCCCCTCTTCTGGGGTCCCGGGGGATTTTGGGGCGGGTTTTGGGGTGTATTTTGGGGCGGGGGTCCCCGGGGATTTTAGGGCGGGTTTGGGGTGTATTTTGGGGCGGGGGTCCCTGGGGATTTAGGGGTGGATTTTGGGGTGTATTTTGGGGAGGGGGTCCCTGGGGATTTTGGGGCGGGTTTGGGGTGTATTTTGGGGCGGGGGTCCCTGGGGATTTTGGGGCGGGTTTGGGGTGTATTTTGGGGCGGGGGTCCCTGGGGATTTTGGGGGCGGACCCCCCACTTCCCTCCCCCGGGGCACTGGGGCGAATCTCCTGCCGGGCCCGGCCGCGCGCAGCTGATGGCGGCTGCTCCCCAAATCCGGGGGGCTCCCCCAAAACGGGGGGTCCCGAGCCCCCTCCTCATCCTCCTCCTCCTCCTCCTCCTCCTCCTCCCAGGTATCGCTGGGGGGAATTGGAGGTCTGGGGGCTTCGGGGGTCTCGGGGTTTGAGTTTGGATCTGGGGAGGTTTGAGGGGTTCTGGGGTGTCGGGGTTTGGGGATGGGGGTTTTGGGGGTCCCAGGGTTTGGGTCTGGGAGTTTTGGGGGTTTCGGGGGTCCCAGGGTTTGGGTCTGGGGGTTTCAGGAGTTCCAGGGTCTCATTTTTGGGGTCTCGGGGGTCCTCAGGCTCTCACCTCTGGGTTTTGGGGTGTTTCAGGACTTCCGGGGTCTCAGGGTTTGGGTCTGGGGGTTTTGGGGGGGTCCCACCTGTGCCCACCCCCCTTAACGGCCGTGGGGACCCTCCTGAACCCACTTGGGGGTCTCGGGGGACCCCAAAACCAAAAACAACCTCCGGGTGCTTCCCCCCAGCCACCTGGGCCGGGGTGTCCCCTGGGACCCCCCCCCCGAACTTCCCGTTCCAACCAGAGCTGAAACTGGGGGGGCAGAGCTGGAATTGGGGGGGCAGAGCTGAAACTGGGGGGGCAGAGCAGGAACTGGGGGGCAGAGCTGAAATTGGGGGGGCAGAGGTGGAACTAGGGGGGCAGCAGGGCTGGGGGTCCCCCCGGTGCCACCTGCAGGGTCCCCGTGTGAGACCCCCACCCACGGGGGGGATTCAGGGACCCCCCTCTGTGAGACCCCCACCCACGGGGGGATTCAGGAACCCCCTGTGTGAGACCCCCGACCCCTCCATGACCCCCTCCCCATTTCTCCCCACAGGTTCCCAGTGCCACAACGGCTCCTTCCCCCCTCCTCCCACCCCCCATGCGGAGACCCCCCCCCCGCTGACGCTGCCCACCCGCCCGGGGGGCTCCTCCTGCGGCTCCTGGGGAGGGGTCCGCGTCTGGCCCGTGCCCACCTCCCTGTCCGCCGCGCCCGGGGCAGCTCTGAGCCTGGAGTGCCGCTTCGAGCCGGAGGACGCGAATGTCACCTGGCTGCAGGTGTGTCCCCGCGGCCGGGCCGGGGGCTGCCGCTGGCCCGAGGAGCTGCCGGCCCTGGGCGGGGGTCGCCAGGTGAGGGGGGGGGGCTCGGGGGTCTCCAGGCTGAGCTTCGAGCCCCTGGAGCGGAACCACAGCGGACTCTACTTGTGCCGGGTGAGCTCCAGGAACGCGTCCGCGCAGTCCTGCGGCACCTTCGTCAGGGTCCTGGGTGAGTGGGGGGCTCCGGGGGGCTTTTGGGGAGGTTTTGGGGGGCGGCTGAGGCGGTGGAAGTATTTTGGGGAGGTTTTTGGGGGGCGGATGACCCGTAGGAAGTCTCCCTGGGGGCGTTTTGGGGAGGTTTTGGAGGTCCCGCGCAGTCCTGCGGCACCTTCGCCAGGGTCCTGGGTGAGTGGGGGTCTCCCCAGCGGGGTTTGGGGAGGTTTTTGGAGGCAGCTGACCCTGTGGGGGGTCTCCGGGGAGGAGCTTTGGGGAGGTTTTGGGGGGCGGCTAACCCAGGGGGAGGATTTTGGGGAGGTTTTTGGGGGGCGGCTGAGCCGGGGGAGGTCTCCCTGGTGGGGGGTTTTGGGGAGGTTTTTGGGGGGCGGCTGAACCGGTGGGGGTTTTGGGGAGGTTTTGGGGGGCGGCTGAGCCGTGGTGGGGGTTTGAGAAGGTTTTGGGGGGCGGCTGACCCGGGCCGGTCCGGCAGAGCCCGTGCCCGTGCCGTTCCTGGACCTGGCAGACGCCACCAAGAACAGGATCCTGACGGCGCAGGGAGTGCTGCTGCTGCTGTGCGCTGCGGGGCCGGGGCTGCTGCTGCTCTTCAGGGTGAGGAGGGGGCTCCGGGGGACCCCCGCCCCTAATTCGGGTTCTGCTGGCCCTGATCCCGGCCCTGGTGTCCCTGACCCCGGTCCTGCTGTCCCCAATCCCTGTCCTGCTGTCCCTGATGTTTCAGTCCTGACAACCCCAATTCCTCCTGGTTCCCCCAAATCCCCTTCCAGATCCCCCGAAATACCCCCTGCCACCCTTAATTCCCCACTGAAGACCCCCAGTTTCCCATTCAATTCCTCCCAATC